ATTACCATTCACATCTTGAGTCTTTCACAGGTATGATCTACCATTTGTGCCATGGTAAATTAAAAAATTTACCAATGCACCTTGGAAAGAGCAAATTTTAGGCATCTAACCAAGTACAAACAACAAAACATAGGGAGCTTTAAAAGCAAACAATTTTAACACATTTTAGAATCATTGTTATTAGAAGTTAAAAATTATTGCTTTAATATCTTAATCTAGGAAGTCCTAGAGCTTTTAGTTGGTACATATGAAATTAAGAAAGAAAACAGTAATTTGTCTTCTGAGACAACTTCTAGCATTAAATACTGATACTTTCTAATGAACTTTCAATGGATGCCACAAGTTTATATTTCCAAGGGCCAAGCCTTTCTTTTTGCCACCTTTATTACATTTTCATTGTTCTTTTGGATCTACATTGATGGTGCAACAGAGAAACATGACTCTCCTTTTTCAGAGTTATTGTAAGAGATTTCAATGACTTTTTTTTAATCCTTTTGTATCTAATCATCACCTTTACAAATGTCTGTGAGGGATGTCTCCCTGGGGAGAATGTATTAACTAGTATCTGACACAGATACATTTGCCATTTTTTTCAACCGTAAAATTCTTTTTTTTTTTTTGCATTTCAAAACGTGTAATCAATTGATCCGAAACTCTCTCTTTTTAACTAATGAATTCTTAGTACTGACTTAAGTAATATAATGTCCTTAATTATTCACTGAGGAATTTTTTTAGGGACAGATTCCATATTGTTTCATGTATTTAATAACATTTAAAATTTCATCCAACAACTTGAACAATAGATAATCTTTGCATATATAGCAAGAATAAACTGTTTTACCAGACAAGGTTAGCAATACTCTAAAAATGCGTGACCTGAGATCAATTAAAACATAATTGTCACAAACCAGAGTTCTTAGCCCCAGGTTTCAGATAAAATTTCAAGCAAGCAATTAGTTGAATCAGAAACTCAGTTTAAATGAGATTTATGAGGAGAATTGCTTTTGAGGGGAAGTTGTAGTCCTGTTTCCCAGTTTATTTATGACCTTAAAATGTACTCAGGAGATATTTTTGTCCTTGAGCATTGCAATAAATTATATACATGCATCTCTCACAATCTAAAGATTAATACAAACAGTACTCAGTATTCTGAGAAAATTATTCTACCTAAAGTAAAACTGTTTTTCATTTTGGAGACGAAAGTAAGAGACACACCTAGTTTCTACTTTTTCATTCTTTCATGGTTTGTTTTATCTATATCAAAATATAATAGACGTTTCAGAAAACTGTATCTTCCTACTTATTTTTACTCTTTAACTGAGAGGGTTCACATTATTGTGGTTTGTCTCCACAAAAAAAACAGATAATTTCATTGCCTGTGTTACACTTCAGAAATATTGGGCAGTTTCTCTTAGCATTATTTCTTGTTATTCTTGGAGTATGATTTCATACCACAAATTTATCCCACATTAGCAATATATATTTCTAGCTGCATTCCCTAGTCTTTGATATTCATATGCTCCAGTGCATGTATACATTATGAAACCACAAGTCCAAACAGACCCCATGGTTTTGTTGTTGGTTTAATTAGCATCATGATGAACTTGACAGTTTTTTAAAAAATAATTATCTTTAGCTAAATACAGTCACTCACATCTAAACAGTTGACAAGTTTCCCACCATGTACAACTTAACACGCAAGTCCTGAAGCTTTATCTCACCAAATTGTACAATATCACACACATGCACATCTAATAGCTACAAATAAATTTCTGAGGTAATGTTTAGACAAACTACATAAATCAGAAACACCTCATATATTTTTGAATATTCAGCAAGGATGGGATTGAGATTCTGTGAGGGAAGCAAGACAGTAGAGAGAAGTAGATTAGCACCAATAATTATTTAAGCAATTTCACTTACAAATGAAATACTCCTGAGGTTTAATGTCACTATAGTAGTCAAATCAATGATAAAAATAACCATACGAATTGAAATACAAACTGTTTGTGATGTTTTACCTTCATTTCAGTATAAAGTAGGTAGGACTTTAATGTCTTTAGTATTAGTATATGCTTCTAACATTTAAATTATTTATTTCTGTACATCCTTTCTTTTAATTATCCTTGAGTTAATTTGCAACTTCCCTATTTAAAAAAAAATTCAACAATAAATAGGGAAACAAATTATTCATCCTGACTTGTGTTGCTTTGTAACCATCTTTACTCTAATGTTATAAAGCTGCCCTTTGAGACAAAAAGACTAAAGTAGGTACCTATTTCCTTACTTATAAACATGAATAAATGATAGATTTTTGTGTAATAAGACCATTTACTGATATATTCTAGGCTTCCTGAGTCACTGAAAAAGAAATGCTTGCAAATTCCTCTCTGTGTTTGTTTTATTCAAGGATGTAGTATGCTCAATATCCTCAAAGACAGGTGACTTAAAAAATTGTCATTTTATGTAAATTAACTTAAATTACTTTTTAAAATACTGATTTGTAAAGTCCTTGATTTTCAAAAGCATAATTTATCCCTTTAGAAGTTTCAATTCAATCACAAAAGGATGTAAAATTATTTACTTTACAATATAGAAGACTTATTTTTTCATACAAAAGATGCTAACATCTGGTGTTTCATTTACATTAGCTCTGAACAGAGACAATCACGTCAGCCAATATCAGCACTCATCCCGTATCCTACAGTCTCCCTAAAGCACTAAACACTTTTTTAAATTAAATAATCTAAACTGTGAAGTTCCCAGATTTTGATGAGAAATTTAGTGAGTAGACTGATCTTCTTTTCTACTAAATGGATGATATTTTGAAACTGACTGTGACTTTTGAGGGTGAAAGTATTTGGAGTTCGTTTTTTTAATGTTTTATAAGAATGATAACTTCAGTATTAGTAGTTTGAATTTGTCAGGCCTTTATTTTCTCCTGTTTCCTATGGTAGCTAGAGGATTTTTAAATACTATGACTCCCTGGAACCAAGAGGGATACAATAACTCATGAAGCAGCAAGGAATCATTTGTTAAGTTACATTTCATGGGCAGTAAACAAAACCCTAAAATGTGTAAGAATTAATACACTGCAAATGAGCATGCTCTTGTACCTCAGGGATTACTGTGGTCATATGGTTCAATTCAGTAGCAATACTTTGTGAAATAGCATTGGTCTCGAAGTAGCATCCCAGTAACTTACACAAAGTGTTGCTTTACAAATAGACTGTTTTATTTAAGTTATGCCAATTACTGAAGCTTTGTCTGTTGAAGATAGGCTCATCAATCAAGTATGAAACACAAAAATAATGAAAAAACAGAGCATGAGAAGGAAAGCTTAGAGAAAACCTTAACACTGTAAGCACTAGTCTATGTAACCAACAACACTATGCATAATCACCAATTTGTGTAACCAATCAGTTCTCAATTTTATTTCTTCATAGAATGGGCCTCAATACAAGTGGCCTATTCTGTAATAACTCATTTCTTTTGTCAAATATTGAGGAAATTGAAAAGCAAACAAATGGAGGGATATAATTCACAGATTATGAATTCATTCATTCAACAAATATTTGTGGAATGCCTACTATATTCCAGGTATTATCATAAGTGCTAAAAAAAGTGTTTTATCTATCTGCAGTCATTTATTGGCACATTTCTAATTATTCCTTTCAATTAGGCCACTTATGCGTCAGGCCTTTATTTTCTCATATTTCCAATGGCAGCTAGAGGATTTTTAAAAACTTAGTATGACTCCCTGGAACCAAGAGAGATACATTAACTCTCATGAAGCTGCAAGGAATCATTTGTTAAGTTACATAGAAGAGGGTATTCGACCAGGGGTGGTGGCTCACGCCTGTAATCCCAACACTTTGTGAGGCCAATGCGGGTGAATCACGAGGTCAAGAGATCGAGACCATCCTGGTCAACATGGTGAAACCCCGTCTCTGCTAAAAATACGAAAATTAGCCAGGCATGGTGGCGCGCGCCTGTAATCCCAGCTACTTGGGAGGCTGAGGCAGGAGAATTGCCTGAACCCAGGAGGCGGAGGTTGTGGTGAGCCAAGATGGCACCATTGCACTCCAGCCTGGGTAACAAGAGAGAA